TTTGAATGTCCTTTTGGTATCTTTCGCCTCTCTTTTAGAATACTCACAAAAATTTAGACTGCCACTAGTATGTTCGACAGGTTTAGAAATAATTTCGGCATTCTTATACTTTTGGTTCTAAATCCATACAGAGATATACTTAACTCACCCTAACACCAGCCTTAACCCTAAAATCTAACCATTACTCTATAAGTAGAGGGGCCCTTAAAGGAAATGCTCATTGTTGAAGGCCATACCTATAATTTCTTAAATCTACGTTATATCTGGTTGATAGTTGTCTCATTTGCAATCATACAACATTTCCTTATTTTTACATTTTTAAACATATTGTACTATAAAACCTGAAAAATTGGGGTAAGGGAATTTTCAAATAACACAGACATAATAAAATTTGCACAACTTAAATAGGATTGAAACAGTCTGTAAAATTGTAAAATCTGGGTTGAAAATGTAGTATATTTTGATTATACAAAATAGGCAACGGCTGTTGTATACATACTGAAAAAAATAGGGAAACAACCTCAAACAGTTTAAAAGCATGTTCAATATTTCTAAACGTGAATAAATAAGCTGTGAAATTTCAAGGAGCAGTCGATTCCACAGTATACTAGTAGGTACTGTCTTTTATAAATCTTATTGAAAAGTATTTAATTCCCAAGAATGAAAAATAGGGAAAATGTCCCCAAATAGTTCGAAAATACTATAAGTAAGTCGAAAATACTATAAGTAAGTCCAAATACCAATGTTAGTGTGCAATCTATCTGTGAAGTTTCAATAATCTTGGTTAAAAACTAGGACGAGTTGTTTACACAAATTAGGTACCGTCTTTTGTGAATTATGCTAAAAAAGTTCCTTAGTTGGGGATTGGTGGTAGGTAAACAGATCATTAATAGCAGGTGCACAACTTAAATGTGCGTTCAATATATATATATATATATAAAATTTCAAGGATCTTGGCTGAAAATGGAGTTGATTCAAAAACAAAAAGTTACCACCTTTTCTACGCCCGCCCGTTCGATAACACTAAACAATAAGAAAAATAAAATTTATATATAACGATAAGGTTTATATGATAGTAATAACTACTTCCATTCAAAACAAAACAAGGACTTCAGAGTAGATAAAAAACCCATCCCGCCCACAGTACCACTGAAAAGGGGGAGGGGTCTGAGGGGGTCCAATCCCGAATTCCTTAGGATTTTTTGCTTAATCCCGATTTCCCGGGCCTTATTTGACAATATCCGAAAATCCCGATAAAATAACAGATGCCTTTTGGCAATTAATGATTGTATACTGTTCAACGCAATCAGTCAGTCTGTTGTGCTCACTAGATTATATAAATAAGATAAAGCGAATCTTCCCGGCAGTCAACAGTGTGTTATAATCTTAATCACTATAAAAAAACCCAACTATGTCATCTAAGAAAAACAAAATGGCATGTAGACACTCTATAGAGCACATAAGCAAAAATGAAAGGGAAAAATACAAAAAATTATCATAGCACAATAACACAATGGCGGGATGTATAAATACCGAGCCACGTAAAAAGGATATTACCAAAAAATGGACTAAACAATAAAGGTTAAAAACGTAAACGTTGTTGACGTCGCTGAGGACATATAAGGGCTAAACGTTTTGAGACGTTCTGGCGTTTTAAAGTGGACACGTTTTGGCGAATAACAATTATCGGACACGTTTCGGGGATGTGAAATCGGACACGTTTTGGTGATTTGGGATTTTAAGGACACGTTTGGGCGAAAAATACACGTTTTGGGGAATCGGAAACGTTTTGGGGATGGACATGTTTGAGAGTGTTACATATGTTATCACTCTTCTTTACACTGCAACTTTTTTGTGTGCCAGTCCGAAACCAGGATACAGTGTCAAGTAGTTGTGTGTATACAGTGAATTCAGTGTTGTTGTTTTTTTGTTTTTTCTGTTATTTCTTTATTTGTGTCTTTCCATTTAATTGTGTACATTTTTTTTTAAATTCAATATGGCCCTCTTTAGCTCTGTGGTATGGGTGATCACTGCCGCAGTGACTGACATTATTCTGTAAATAACTTTTCAAAATCGTGTTTGAAAATTCATAATCCCAATCCCTCTCTTTCTTATGGAATGTTTGATAATGGTATGAGCTTTAGGCTGTTACCTAACAAAGAAGATGTATCATACTGTTGCAGCATTGTGCGCTCATTCTGCCACTGTTGCTGTGTGTTTATACTAAAGGTTTCAGAAGGGACACCAGCGTTTTTAGTCTGTCTGGCCAATTTCAATATAAAACTACCGAATCCCTTCTCTACGGCGGATTATTTTATACCACAATAGCTTTCTATAAATTGTTTGAATGCTGCCAAGTTTTCAAACTTGGTAGCGTTTTCTGGTTTAAAAAAAATGTTAACGTTTTCTTCGCTGAATGGCATTTTTGTGGTTTCATTGTAGTAGGCAATGGTGTCCTTAATTTTGATTTCATTTTTTGCATCATCATCATCCATTTTTTGGTCTGCTACCGGAAGACAATCAATATTAAAAAAAAAAAACAAATCGATATCTTTATCTAACTAATTACGCATAATTGTATTGATCAGTTAACCATAACCAAATTACTGACATTACTGGTAAACATTTTTGTCATTGTTGATCATTCTTTAACTTATTTTCATATTAACGTTGAATGTAATTTGTGGGTACATAATGTTATAGATACTTATCATACTCGCTAAAACTACATACCTGATCAACCTTATATCAATACACGCATGCTAATTTGTTTTTTGTCTTCAAACAAGAGTCCCAATAGATAAAAATCCCGAATTCCCGAACGTAAATCCCGAAATCTCGATGATAATATAGCTCGTTCCCGAAATCCCGAACTTAAAAATGGACAATCCCGGAGTCCTGATAAAGGTCCGATCCCCCTTCCCCCTCACCACTGCATACTTTCCAAAAAGTTAAAAAAAAATGCCATTTACTATTTTCGGATGATTTTCAGAAAAGAGATTTGTAGTCTTTAAAACAATCATCCGTATAAAAAAGACAAAAGTTCTGTTTGCTATTGGAAACCTTATACAAGATCAAACAACCCTTTCAATCAAAAAGTATAATGCGACTTAGAAATCACTGAAAATTTCATTGAACATCATTATCTTGATTGTAAATAGTTGCGGACGGATGATTCTTATTCCATTTCAAAACAAATTGTATGAAATAAAAACATTGTGTAATACGTTAAGAAATAACATATAAACTATTGGAGATTCACTATGCAAAGTCTGATCATCAAGAATCATTGAAAGTTTAATTCCCGTCAATAGTTGTGGATAGGAGATGCCTTATCCAATAAAACAAAAAGTATACAAGAAACCCTGATGTCTATTCTCTTTATATATAGGAAAACAATCCGAAAATTATTGGGATCGAAATAAAATACAACGTGAAAAATACAACTCGTTTAAAAGTTAAAAAAAGGGAGCCTGTGGGGGCGCGGTCTATATACCGTTACTTACACATAAGACCGTACTGGTTACCGGAACCTTGGCTACACCAAATCAGGTACTTCATATCTGAGAAACATTCAACATATGCCCTCTTTTTTAGATTTATCCATACATTTTTTTATGATTCAAAATTATCAATCAGAAGTAGTTCCACAAGGATCACCAGTTCTTCACCTTTCATTTGATACCTAAATTACCAAAATATATTCAACATAGTGTGATATTTACACCTATGCGTAAGAACTATTTTGTTTTAAATACGTACTAGTATATTCTTTTTGACCGGACCCGATATAGTGGTATTACATCTTACAATGTCTACCCGAATGCAAAGAATTAAGCTCAAACCGGTGCTAAAGGCGGTCTAAAACTTGCAGTGAGGTGCGAGTTGTTTTATTTTGCTTCGTGTTGAAGGATTCACTGTGACTTTGAGATAAAGAACAGCAATAAAAGCGCTGTTCTTTTGCTTTTTGTGTGTTTTTGCTGTGCATTAACCGATTTTGTGTCATGGATGGATACCCCATATTCTTTGTTCTTTTATTATCGTTTTCTTCTTTACGATGGGTTGTCTGTTTTTTTTTCATTGATAACGTTATCTAGTAGCTACCTGCCTAGAAAATTTCAGGGCAAAAACAATTTTCAATTTCTGTCAACTGTCCGATTCATTTATGGGCCAAATTCTGAAAAACTTTTCCTTCTATATGCATAAAATATTAGTCACTGAACAGTAAGCAAGCACCAATCGGTCTAAACAAGCAGAATGACGAATGAATTTTTGCAACTGCAAGGTAGGGTATAACAGTCTCCGGGACAAGTTTGCACTTCCGCTGAGTGCAAAAGTTGTCACCTTAATTTTTGGAGTTAAGTCAAAATGAAGTTGATAACTTGGTTGGTATTGGTTCCCTGATATTTGTCCTAAAAAATTTTGGTTTTAGCACCACTGTTGAAAAAGTTATGCCCCTTTTTTCAACAATTTCCTCAGAGGAAAAGTAGTTTTCCTCAAGGGAAATCAAATTTCCCTGAAGGAAAAAGATTTTTCCTTAAGGGAAATTGTATTTTCCTCAAGGGAAAAAGATTTCCCTTAGGGAATTTGCTGCATTAATATTTCCTTTGAGGAAATTCTATTTCCTGTGAGGAAATTTGCGGCTTCAAATTTTCCTTTGAGGAAATTCTATTTCCTCTGAGGAAATTTGAGGCTTCAAATTTTCCTCTGAGGAAATACTTTTTCCTGTGAGGAAATTTGCGGCTTCAAATTTTCCTTTGAGGAAATACTTTTTCCTGTGAGGAAATTTTGTCAACAGCAATTTCCTGTGAGGAAATTTTTGACAAACACTTTTCCTTGAGGGAAAATTCAAGACCACAAATTTCCTCTAAGGAAAATATTGTTCTCCAAATTTCCTCTATGGAAATTTCTCTTATTCAATTTTTACCTCTATGAAAATTTCATAACAGTAAAAACAGTATGAATATAATTTTTCCTGAGACTGAATAATTGATACAAAAGATAATTAAAACTTTAATAAAATGTTCACTGATGAGTAACATGACATACAAAAACAATAGGCTAGCTGTTTGAGACAATACAATAATAAGCAAAACGCTATGAATATCATACTATTTGTGATGTTATCAATATTGTGCTCATATTTGCAGATTAAATAAAATAACCACTTTTCATGTTAATTTAACTTTTCTGCTGCGTACAATTATTCAATCCCCTACAAAACAGTTCAGTGCATAAATAATTCCATCCACCAGACATCTTCCTTCAATTGGTAGAGAATACATTTTTGCAATTTGTTCTTCAAACATCTTCCTCTATATAGTTGATATGACAGAGCTATGTACATGAATGGATAAAGCTGGTGTTTATTTCGACAAAAAAAATACTATTTTTTCTACATTTCTCCCTAATCCTTCAGTGTAGGTTGTTGCAATTACACAATTGTGTTCTTGTGCATCTATGATTGTACTCCATTTTGTTTACAGCCATTTTGTAGAAATTTCCTATTTTCTTTTTCCAGGTAAGCACACATTTCATTTCACATTAATCCAATTAGCACACAATGTAGAAAAGTATTAACCTTAAGTTTCCTCTTCTGTATTGATCTGTTGATGATCATGAAAACCAAGAAGTCTCTGCACCTATAAATACACAAAATATAAATTTAGAAAAAAACAGCAATATGAAATAAGCTTATTTTATCATGTTTAATATGAACATTTTGAGAAACTTAAATTTGATATTCCTACTAATCATGATTATGAGTTCTGTTATTTCAGTGCTTTGTGTCCACGACTTAATATCAGTCGTTTTAGTGCCTTGCAGTAATAATGAGTTGAGCCACTTGCAACAGTTTTTACAGTTTGTTCATATGTTGTGCTATTTGAACCACTGTCCTAGATTATGGTTAGGTGGAGTGCTAAGAGACATGATTTTTTTATTACTTGTTATTGGCTTTGAACTAATTTAGATTGTTTAAATCTTTTCATGTTGGGGTCTTTATTGGCTGACTTATAAGGTATGGGTTTTCTCATTATCGAAGGCCGTCATTGGTCTTTAATTGCTTGCATCCACTTCATTGAACTCTGGTGGATAGATAACTCATTTACCATACCACATCTTCTTATTTTTATAGTAGTCATCATTCAAGGGCAATCACACTTATTATATAGAAGTGGTCTTACCATTTAGGCCTTGTTGTCTTCTGTTTATCTTGTTTTGCCGATCATTTCTACTGTACAGTTGTAATTGTTTATATTTTTCTTTATCTTCTATATTTCTTGCCCTAAACTTAAAAAAGGTAAAAATTATAATTTAATGACAGTCACTATAACTATTATTATACATCAGTATGTGTTTTTCTATATACCATGATATAAAAAAGAATGAAATATTTGTGCTATTTCATTTCACAGACTATTTGCCAGTCAACAGTTTCAAAGACATAACCACGGTCAATAGTTTAACAAACAAACATTCCCGTACTTTTTCATCGTGTTCATACTAATTTTTCAATGGACAACAATGACGTGATTAACTATTCTTCTATGATTTGTGTGCTTGACAACATTAAACTCTGAAATATTGTTAACAGTATAATCTGTATGTGTCTGTCGTCAAAATTTCAAATTAATATATTACTTACAGAAGCAATTAAAACAAGAGGCTCACAAAATGAATGTGGTCTAAGAACTTAAAAATATCTAATTTACCTATTCAAACCATATCATTATTATTTGCTTTTATATATAAATCAGAAATAACCAATTTAAAATGGAAAATTTTAAAGAAAACAAAAGGAAAAAAAGTTAAAAAAAATCCCCCAAATGTTTGGAACCCCCTTATGATTCATCACCCCAAAACTCAATCCCAGCCTTCCCTATGTGGTACATTACCTTGCAGTACAATTTCAGAGAGATCCATACACTTGAACACAAAGTTATTGTCTGGAAACAAGAAAAATGCTTGTTTTTTGGCCCCTTTTTGGTCCCAAATTCCTAAACGTTTAGGGCAATTACCCCCAAACTCAATCCCAGTTTTCCCCTTGTGATATGGAACCTTGTAGTACAATTTCATAAAGATCCATACACTTACACACAAGTTATTGTCCTAAAACTAGCAAAATGCTTGTTTTTTGCCCCTGTTTTGCCCCTAATTCCTTAAATTTTGAGGCAATTACCCCCAAAATCAATTCCAGCCTTCCCTTTGTGGTATGGTACCTTGCAGTACAATTTCAGAGAGATCCATACACTTACACACAAGTTATTGTCATGAAACTAGAAAAATGCTTGTTTTTTGCCCCTTTTTGGCCCCTAATTCCTAATATTTTGAGGCAATTACCCCCAAAATCAATCCCAGCATTCCCTGTGTGATATGGAACCTTGTGGTACAATGTCAGAGAGATCCATACACTAACACACAAGTTATGTCTGGAAGTTACAAAAATGCTTATTTTTGGCCCCTTTTTGGCACCTAATTCCTTAACTGTTGGTACCATAACCCCCAAAATCAATCCCAACCTTCCCTTTGTGGTATTGAACCTTATGGTAAAATTTCATAGAGATCCATTCACTTAAACTAAAGTAAGAGTGCGAAAACCAATGTGTCTTCGGACGAAGACGACGACGCCAACGTCATACCAATATACGACCGCAAAAATTTTTTGCGGTCGTATAAAAATCTATAAGCTATAACTCAAAATATGGACAATTTTATGTTTAAAGGGTCTTTAATTTAGTTTGACAACTTCACAGACATACTAATATTTGACCTTTTCAAACTATACCAAATCACTACTTAGGCCCCAAAAAAATATGTCTGTTTAAGGTTACATACTTTAGAAAAAAAGGCTAGGTAAGATGGTATTTCCATTTTATTTTATTTTATTTTTTCATTTTATTTTTTGCGACATGATTTTGAGTCATGCCGTTTCGTATTGTCGTGGTCTGAGTTGATCCTTGGCCGAGTTGATCCTTGGCCGATTTTACCCGTTATTTTAATGATTGGATTATTTGCCTTGGTTATTGGTTGGGGAAAAAATGGCGGCAAAGTGTTTATTTCATCACATGAGTCACGAATTTCCTTATAACAGCTGTCATATTCACGATTGTGAACATTGGGATGTATCAGGCAATTGATTTATATTATTGGCAACACAAACTTCATTTTTGACATGAGTTCAGTTAATTTTTGACTTTACAACGGAAATAAAATGACTTAGGGTCGGCGCTCAAAAGGACGGTCGGTCGGGTAACCGTAAACAGACATATATTTTTGTTTGGCCTTAAGGATGTTCGCTACTCCATTTCAAAATAACAAGATTTTTAAAGAATATGAATAAAGGAACTAAATAAACAGAAAAAATGAAGGGTCCGTGTGCTTGTTTTTAAGATATAAGCCAATAAAAATTTGGCGGGAAGTGATTCTCTCTAGATTTTTCATACACTAAACACTGGCACCTTTTTCTTTCAAAAGCTATGGAAAAATAACAAGGATTTTATAAGATTTTCAAATATGGCTTTTTAAACTATGTAATAAAAATATGAAAAGAAAAGTAGGGGTTTGCGGGCAAAATTTTTTTAATGGCACTGCATGGATAAAACCAGAGGATTCCGAATATCTGGTAAAAATGTAATTTCATCCGCAATAAATTTGGAAGGAGTATGAAAATAATTTGCAAGTTATACACTATATCCACACTAGAGACCTAAAAGAGTAGAAATACTAATTTTAATCAAACTTGGCATGAACTAAGATTAGGGAATTATAAGACAGTTTACCTAGTTTCATGGCAATAGCATATATACATTAAAGACTATAAGTTTGAACTTTGGGTGTTAATTTTTTGCCGTTTAAAGTTTAACGTTTAACTATCAAGATTTGGGCCTCTATAATTTAAATATTGCAAAAAATTGCTTTTTAAATGTCTTTATAACTATTTATATATAATTGGGTATGTCACATGTATGTACATGATGTATTTTAATGTAAAGCAGCTGAATACTCATTTGCTGTCTCAGATTTATTTCACTTCTTCAAAAGTCGAATTTATATGAGCCTATGCCTAAAATTAGAGATTTCAAAATTAAGGGGGGAGGCGGCTAATATAAAAATTCTTCATGTATATCTAAAAAATTATTTGTATTTCAAAAGGAAAGAAAGTTACTTATCTGCTTATAGCATACCACATGAGTAGAACAAGGTCCCATTAGGCCATGGAAGACTGAATAACATTTAAGGTCAATATATAGGCAGTAACACATTTTTACATGTATATGAAAAGGCATACACATAAGCTAGAGGAAATAAAAAAGTGTTTCTTTTTGGTAATTTGTAGGCTAAGGTGACATCATACAAGAAGTATGAGTGATTCTAAAACTAAAATAAAATAAATTCATCCCCCTACTTCATTGTACTTACTTTTTATGCATAAAAAATATAAATAAATAAATTTTGAAGTAATACATGGTCCACACTAGGAAATCTTTTTGTAAAAAATGAAAATCAATGGATGATAACTGTGTACTTGGACTAACAATTAAGATTTCACATGCTGAAATGTCTCGTCAGCCCAATCTCAATCAGTGAAATAAACTATTGTTTATTTTTTTTTAAAGTCATATGGAAGTAGTCCAAATAATTATGACGCATTGCAAGGCTTTTTTTTGGTAAATGGACAGAAAGTCACAGGACAAAAAGTCACAGGACATAAAGTCACAAATTTGATAGGACAAAAAGTCACAAATAATTTGTTGACAATTGTTTGAATATATAAGAGAAAGATCTTGAAATATATTCTTTTTATTACATATATTCATTTTTAAGTTTAGAAAATTGTTCATAAGCCTTGATAAATGAAAATTTATTAAATTTTAATCATGCAAGGAATATATTTCTTGGCACAATGAAGACATTTAAGTACCAAGCCACTTTGACATTTTGTTTTCATAACAATTATTTGATCATTATTGATATTTATTGAATAAATGTTAATTACAAAGTTGCTTCGTATATAGTAGTTCAAGAAAAAACAAAAATTTTATTTTTCAAATTAGTGTTTTCTTGTTTAAAGAAAAATAATCTCAAAACTGAATTGTGACTTTTTGTCCTGTGACTTTTTGTCTGTGAGACTTTTTGTCCTGTGACTTTCTGTCCTACATTCTTTTTTTCTCTCTGACGCCGTAGGAAGGAGAAGTGAGTTGACATAACATGTATGTTATCATGCAAAATCAACAGTAATAAGTATACCTTTGATTGTCATCGTCACTGCAAATGGATCATTATTACTAGGGGGAATGAAACCAATAAATTGATCGGATCCGATATGAAGTTCCCTGTAACGGAGAACCTCTAACTTTGAGGTAATATTATTAGTGTCGGTGGTCTCACAAATGAATGAGGGTGAATTGCAGGTACATTAATTAGCAGAGAATAGACAATTATCAACTTGTTGTTCATTATCTCGCAGTTATTTACGGTTAAATAGCTGTATATATCCCAAAACAGGTGCTCGGAGCTAGTACTAGTCTATGACTTTTAAGTAACAATTATATTTATATTCACAATCAGTGGCGGATCGAAGGGGGATGGGATCCGGGGGTTTGATTCCCCTTTTTGTGAACGATCATTGCATTTAATCAGAGATTTAATGGAGACATATATTTCAGTGGCGGATCCAGAACTTTGTGTAAAGGGGGGGGGGGGGGGGGAGGGCGCTGACTGACCTAAGGGGGGCCCGCTTCAGTCATGCTTCAGTGATTCACTATATAATCAACCAAATCCCCCCCTCCTGGATCCGCCTATGTACTATGTATTAAGACCCCCTTTATCCTGGCTAGAATCGCCCCTGATATTACATGTAAATCAAGTCCCGGGTTAATTACTGTTAGCATAATAGCATAACGGTAATCACAAAGAGTGTGGTAATTTTATAAAGGACGAGGATTAATAAATATACAATTCTTGAAGAGGGGGAGAGTGCACTTCACGATGATCGAAAATAAAGTGCCTTGCATGTTATTTTCATCATCTTGTCTGAAACAGTCTGAATAATGATTTTCAAGGCGAAGCGCGAAAATAAGTCATGTGAAATACTAACGTTGTACGGACAAAGCCTTAAATCCCTCAATGTTATGTCAAATGAATTATAGCGAGGAAAAGTAAATTTAATTTAATATCAAAACTAAATATTTGTTATATTTCGCTCCTGATTTTTCAAGAAATCATAGAATCAATAAATGTATAAATTTCAATTATGCATGTCTGTGTGAGATCCATTTCATCATGAGACCAAGGATTTCTGTAAAATCCTTGATTGGACCCTTTATATATATATGTCTCTGATACAGTTTTCTATTTTCCCCGGAAAAGTTTAAAAAATATATAATCTTTTGGGAAATAATCCGATTTTGTTGAATTATTTCCTTTCATAATTATGATAAATCCTTTTAGTTCTTCAATTTTAAATTTAGATAAATATTTCATTTTGATCTAACGACAAACTTTTTAAATTGTAGTGGCATGGTCAGTCAACTGATTAGTTGCATGGCTGATTACCAGTTTACTGGTGACCCAGTAATTTTCCATATGACAGTGGCGTCTACCCTTGGGGTGTGTATAACTTATTTTGAATACCTTAATTTTCTGGGGAACATCCTGTCCACGTGTAATACTTAGTATATATTGCAACAGATGACATTAAACAAATTTTCTTTGTAGCATCGGTGTCCATTTCATGTTCAACCACTCAAAATTTTCACAAAAAAGATAATATAATAAAATCATTAAAAAAAAAGATTAAAAAAACACTAGCAAATAAACTTCGCAATGAGTAAACGGGGATTTGTGTTTTAAAGGGTTTATTTCAGTGGATATATTTTATACTAGATAACTAGACCTGAAATAACTTTTTTTTTTGTAATATATATTTTATTATTTTCATATCATTCTCAAATCTCGATCATCTTAAATAAAGATGTATAAAAAATAATTTTGTTATAACTCATAAATATATGGTTGATCATAATTGTTACAAATTATAAAATGGTAAGTCAATGCCCGATGTGCCGCCGTCTGTTGCAAAACTACGATTTAATCTTTTAAATGAAAGACGTGCACTGCCTTCATCGGAATAGAGGAAAGTCCACCTAGTGTACATTAAAGAGTATCCGTTTGTTATGCTGAAAAAAAAGGGGTCATCATAAACTTTTTAGCAGACCTTCTCGTGTAAAAAAAACAAACTTTTAACTGAATTAAACAAAAAAATTATCAAACAAAACTCATTAGAAATCTCATAGTAACATTTTGTTTAGACCTGAGATAACTTATAGTAAGATTATTTATATAGAACAATAAAAAAAAAAATTCCAATCTGATACACGTACCTATAATCTGGGACTATTATACTAACTATTTTTTAGTATAATAGTCCCAGCTATAATGTACAAAATTTTGAACAGCTTCAAATATATGGCCTTATCATTGGTAATATATCATATTTGTATCAGTTATTGCTGAACGTGTAACCAAATTAAAATGAAGAAATAGGCTCGAAACCGCATTTTTTAAAGATATTTTTTTTCAATCCCAAAATAGATAATAGATATGCAGATTAATTAAAGTCCCGATGAGATGATTCACTTTCTTTTCTACCGAAGTAAATATATTAACAAAGATTTAGGATATCAATAAATTATTAAATTCATCAATTTATTAAATTTGAACATGTGAACCAAACAACGAAAAACAATAAACGGGAAATTGGCTATACCTTTTTGGTATTAGCCATAAAGCCACGTATGTACCAGCAATTTTAACTTATTGTTTTCTTAACCTTTAAAAAATACATTTTAAAATGAACTACTTTATTTATAGTAGTTCAAGAAAAATATATATATATATTAAAAAGTTTTAAATTTTGTCCACGCTGTGCATAAAATAGGAAAAAAAATTAAGGCTGAAAATGCACCAAATATTTATATTCAATATGAATATTCACATTTTGTCTATTACAACAATTTTTGAACAACTTGTTGTTGTAATAGACAAAATTTGAATATTCATATTGAATATAAATATTTGGTGCATTTTCAGCCTTATTTTTTTTCCTATATATATTATATGGCCTTCCAAATACCGTTTCGATCCCTAACATCACTGAAGAGACATTAAATGTCGAAATCCGGTAATGGTGTACAAATTTTTGCACCTCATGTTTGCGGTATACCATCTTTTTCGTAACTAAAATTTAGTGGTTGTAGTTGTTTCATATCTGTCATATTTATATTTTTTTAATTTGTTTTGTTATAAACTAGAAAATTAGTTCTACAGTTGGGATTATTTCAATTTTTCGTCTGAGGGCCTTTTATAGCTGACTACTTTGACAATAGGGTATGGACTTTCTCATTATTGAAGGCCGTCACTGGCCTATAATTGCTTTCTTAGAGCCATGATCAATAGTTTTCATATTTAATATAAAACATCTTTTTATTTTTATAATAATCATGATAATCATCTTTCAAGGGCAATAACTTTTATAAAAGTGGCCTTATGAGTCTTATCGAGCATCACTGATGAGTGTTTTGTAGACGAAACACACGTCTGGCGTAAATACAAAATTTAATCCTGGTATCTATGATGAGTTTACTTACCATTTAGGTTTTGTTGACTTCTGCAAATTTTAAATTGCCTATCATTTCTCCTGTTTATAATTTCTCTGTATCTTCTATAGTTCTTGTCCTACACATAAAAAGAGTAAAAATTATTATTTAATGACATCTTGCATCAATAATTATTTTGCTGTTTAATGTATATATCAATACGTGTTTAATAAAAAGCTGTACCATGAGTGCTTGATAAGCTTGTTGCCCTTTTAGCTTGGGTTTATGCTTTAAATGAATTTTAATGATCAACTACAATATAGAAAAACTGTGAGCACTGCGCAACTAAGACCCCCACCCCCTACAAAAAACAAAACTACAGGCTCGCTCACCTGACTCTATTTGGGTTTTTGAAATCATAAAAAAAAGATAAAAATCATAACAGATACTTTAATAATGATTGACGCCATATTTGGTTTAATATTGTCCTACTCCGCTGGGGGCCGTCTTGGATGATGGATCAGCTACAGAGTAACAACACTTGGTCAACACCTCATAAGGAACATTCATGCTATGTTTGGTTTCATTCCATTCAGTGGTTCTCTAAAAGAAGACATTTGTATGTATTTCCTATAGGGTCCTATCTTAAACTAAGTCCCCCGCTGCCGGCCATCTTGGATGATAGATCGGCAACAAAGTAACAACTCTTGGTCAGCACCTCATAAATAATTCAGTGGTTCTCTAGCATTTTTCTAGAAGAAGTTCAAAATGTAAAAAGTTAACAACGGCAACGGACGACGACGGACGCCAAGTGATGAGAAAAGCTCACTTGGCCTTTCGAGCCAGATGAGCTAAAAAAGGATATGCACACAGAGTGGTATTCATTGAAACAAAACATGAAAATAATTTGGCTCCATTTAGGGATATTGCAAGTGTATATACATTTTGTAAGTTTAAGGCCGTGATTTTTGAACAAATACAATTCTAAAACCTTCCAAAGTGTGAAAATGGACAATTTTAAACAATTTTCCAACAACTAAAATTCCATAACTCTGCATCTTATATAAAAATAAATAGGGGATGATACTCCGGCTTGCATATCATATAAAGTTATAAAGGAAGATAACTGAAGAACGGTAAAATTTATACTACTAAAATTATAACTTGATCTGATTTTGTGGTAAAAAGTTTTGCGTTAAAGTTTAATAAAATTTGGTTGAGGCAAACTTAATTTAGAGGACGGAAACGTAAAATTCATCATTTTTTCCATCTGTAAAGGACATAACATTAGAACAGACTGAGTCAGTAAAAGTGACACCACCAAAATTCAAACTGTTTTTTGTGGTAATAAGCATTGTGTGCAAGTTTCATAACATTTGGTTGAGGCAAATTAAAGTTAAAGATAGAGAGCCGGAAACCAAAAATTCAGCAATTTTTCCATTTGTAAAGGGGCATAACTCTAGAACGGTAACACTGACACCACCAAAATTCACACTTGATCTGAGTATTGTGGTAATAAGCTTTTGTAAAAGTTTTATAACATTTGGTTGAGGCAAACTAAATTAGAGAACAAAAACCAATGACTTTGGGACAGACGGACAGACAGTCAAGGGTTGACCCACTATCACATGACTATGGGTCATAAAAATGTAAAGGGAGTTTATGTCAACATATAAAATCAATTCACCAAAGTTTCATAAAAATTGGTGAAAGCATT